AAGCAAAAACCTTCTCGATTTTCGTGCCTTTTCCATCGTCTAACGTGTCTATTTTTCTGGATAATCAAAATTGGACAAATTAATAGTGCATTTTTGGTATTGTCGACGTTTCGGTCGCAACGACGTAGTTCATTTCATGATCGGACTTCTTTTGGGCACGCCGAGGCCTGATTTCCTCGAAATGTGTGTTGTCTCGATTTGCGCGCACAACCTCATTCGAACAAATTGGCAGTTCATTTGAAGTATTGATGGTGTTTCGAACACAACTACGAAGTTCGTTCATCAATCAGACATCATTTGGATAGCGCCTAGTGACATTTTTCTTGAAATACGCGTTTTGCCTTGAGATGCTGATGTAGACAAAGGGGGGGTCAACTCTTGTCCAAAATAAATCAATCTTGGCTTCCCTCGAGTTTACAAGCTCAATCAAATTTGAGCTGAAATTTAGCTCATTTATGAGCTGGTCTTTAGTTCACTTATTGAACTAAGGGTTAGCTCATTATTAGCTAATATTTTAGTTCATAGTTATCTTTTTATTAAATACTTTTTATTATAGTTTTTAATATCTTCATTTAAGTTGTCTCTTGGGTTTCCAAAAGGGCTTTTGGAATCCTAAGAAGTTGTTTGATTTTCCCATGTATGGCTCCTTGGCTTCCACCATGGGCTTTAGTTTTTTTTGTGCCTTTGCCCCTTGGAATTTCGGCCGGCTACTGGTTTTCCGAGCCTGGGATGTTTCCCGTGGCTGTTGCACCTTGGTTTCGTGCGGTCTCCTTGTCTCCCGCGGCTGCTCCTTTGGTTCCTGAGCTTGTGTGGTTTTCCGTGATTAGCATGGGGGGATTTCCATGCTTGTGATATTTAGGTTCTTGTGAAAATTAATGTTGTGTGTCCTTTTGTATTCCCCTTTCATACCTATTTATATGAGGGGCTTGTAATGTTTTTAATAGTTGAATGTTATGTGATTTTTGGAATCTAACCTGCGGGTTATTGGAAAAGCTTGCGAGCTTTGTCCGTCTTCTTTCTCATCCCCTCCGGAAATCTTGCGAGCTCTTTCCAACCTTTTGTCTCGGCTTCTAATCTCTTTCGTCTCTCCGCAAGTGACACTCCATCTGTATCTTTCGTCTCTAAGTAAAGCAGCTTTAGGGTGTCTTTGATTTTGAGTCAAAAGTTGTAATCCGTCGTCGTTTGTACTGTTTTTAAAATTTCTTCTTTTTAGTTTAATTTGAAATGTAAGAGTTTGTTCTTCCTCATCTTAGTTGCATATTTCGTGATTTAGTGGGTCGTCGGTTAAGGATCAATCATTCGTGTGGGCGAGGGGTATAGTCTCCCTATATTTCTTGCCCCCACCAATATGTGTCTCTTCTATTACCCAGTAGAGTCTTTATTTTTTGATTGCATCAGATGCATGTCGACCTTCTTGCATGTTTTAATTTGCACAAATTCACTGTCATTCTGAAGTATTTGGGATGTTCCAAACGTAGTGGCGGAGTCCGTTTTGCGATCGGACTTCGTTTGGGCAACGCCTATACCAATTTTACTCGATATGCGTATTTTGTCTCGAAATTCATGCCACCAATCCAGATTTTCTAAATTGAACATAGAAAGTGTAGTTCTTGAGTATTCACATTATTCCGATTGCAATGGCGAAATCCATGTTGCGAATGGACATCATTTGGATAGCAACGAGGTTTATTCCTCTCGAAATTCGTGTTGTTGCCTTGGGATCCGTGCCACCAAATCCAGATGCTTCAAATTTAATAAACAAAATGCAATTTTTAGAGGTTGACAACATTCCGGACGCAACGATGAATTCTGTTTGTCGATCCGACGTCGTTTGATCAGCTTCACGCATTAATTTCGGGTGTCGATCGTCCCTTTTGATTGATCCCATCCGACTCGGTTGTGAGAGACCTCGACCTAGTAGAATTCGACGTCCTGACCGCAACGACACCCTCCGTTTGGCAGTCATAGGTCATTTGATCCTTTAAGTGATGTGTGGCGCCAGAGCGCATATCGCTTTATTCTTTTGTTTGGGTCCTTTCTCACATGGATTGAGGTATAGGGGTCAGCAGAAGATAAGATGGTTGCAATCAACATCGAGTCAATAAAACTGCTCTAAGATGCTTTGGAAACTTAATTAACAAAGAGCCGTCCTTTTATTGCTGGAGGACATCCAACCACGATAGTGGGTGCAATTATGCATTTGCAGTTTCTCATTTGTTAGTTCAGCAATGTTCTTCTGTCGCCAAGGGTGGTGGCATTCTTGGTGATTCATAAGGTCTATAAGATTCAATTATTCAATTGTCTGAAGAGGATCATTCCTCTTGGACAAGAGGAAGGGATGCACTAGCTTGGTCTGGGTAGAGCCTGATTCTGGTCAGGTTGGTCCTTTTTTTTTAACTGATGCACACAATGGTGATGATAACATGCCGTCATTTCAGGAAATTGTTGGTTATTTTTTTCCGTAGTGGGGGATATTTTAGAACACATCAGTAAAAATATAAAATTGGAGGGTTAACCAATGATAGCATCCACCCAAAAGGTGTAACTTATCTGCTGAACTATGGAATGGTGTTTTTAGGTGGTTGCGGATCCAAGCCCCTTTAAAATAATGCCCTTTTGAGGCACTCCACAGGCTTGATTACAAACTTGGCAGCGTCGTTGTATTTTGTGGTAACTCTGGCGATCAATTAAGACCAGTTATTAGTCTCCAGAGCCGGCCTATTGTTGATGTTCTTTCGGGATTCTAATATGAGATGCGGCGCTGTTATGATAAAATATCGTATTTTGAAGGAAAAAAATGTTGACTAAACTACAAATTTTAACACGCAAAAGTAATATATTACCAGCACTTGAAGGAAAAAAAAAAGACTTTAAAAATTGAAACAAGTATCTTGCAATCTTTTTTGCATTAATCATAAGCTAAATCTACTATCAGGCAGCCAAAAATTTAACTTGACTTGAAAATCTGAATAGCGAGACTATTACTGAAGCCAATCATCTTATTTAGGTAGGCTTTGATTCATCTTGTTGAAATATGCAATTGCTAGAGATGGAGATGGAGCGATTTTCCACGGGATTGAAGTTTCCTTCTTCAACTGTGGATTCCAAAGTTGTTTCTATGAAGAGGTTTGAAGGATAAATTCTTTAAGGGATGGGAGTGAAAAGATAATGAGAAAGAAAGACGGAAGAAATCATGGGTTATGAGTGTGAACCCCTTGAATTCAGGATCAAGATAGAGGGAAAACAGGGTAAGAAGGAAGAAAATAAGTTGAATGAAAAGCCATTCTTTATAATTTTGAGATAAGGATGATCTCCTAACTCATTATAAAAGATCAAAATAATTACCGACTTTTATATAGTTCAATTTTAGTCCTTTGACTTTTTAATCGGGGCTTAAATAATCTCATTGAAGGATTAATTTGGTTGCTATTTAGAGTCAAAGATCAAATTGATACTTTTATATAGTCAGGAACTATTTTGGTCCATCAGAAAAAGTTAGGTGACTAATTTGGTCATTTTTTCTTACGATATTTAACCATTAATTATAATTGAAGGCCTACTTCATGAAATAGTAGCCATAAATCCACTGGCATTCTAAGCTGATAGGAAATACTTGAGTTCGCAAGTTACCCTAAGGGAAATACTTGAGTTCGCAAGCAAACCTATCACTAATTAGTGAAAATAGCGAGAATAATGTAGAAATCTGGACGAAATCAACCCCACAACAATGGTTTGCAATAAGGGAATCAAAACCAAACAACACAACGCAAGATACAGGTGATCCTCAATTCGAGAGGAGGATCGTCTCTCCTAATCTCTAGACAAGGAATCTAGAGCCCAAGACCCCAAGGAACTAGAAGAGAAACAATCCAAGCATAACCCTAACCCTAAAACACCTCAAGCTATTTAATACATAAACTTTCCAAATCAATTTTCCCTCGAAAGCCCTAGCCGCCCCCTCCTTTTCTTATTTGAACTTAATTGGAATTGTGGGACCCACTATTGTGGGCAGCAATAGTAGAGGAGGCGGGACTAGCCCGCCTCCTATAAACAAAAACTGGCCCTGTCCAGGGCCGGTTGGGCCGGTTCAGGAGGAACCGGCCTAACATAAGCCTAATAAACATGCCGAAATAACAAGCATGCCTATTATGACAAATTACTATGTTAATGCTGACAATTGGAATAATGATAACCAATGACATGATTTGAGAATTGCAGATTATAGACTAAACTGATCGAACAAGGATGCAAGATTGAAAATTTAAAGCAATCGTTTCACTCTGCATCAATTATTATTTTGGTAATTTTGTGAAACTATATAAGTAACTAATCTGCATCAATTATTATTTTGGTTATTTTGCGAAACGATGTAAGGAAATCTTACGGTGAGAAAGATACTTACAAAGAACTGAAAATTTTTTCTTCTGCCTAAAAACCTCATCTCTCCATCCATCATATCTCATTAATGATACATAAGAATTATGAAGTAAGCTAATCAAATAGAATTGTTGCACACAACTCTACTTGGCCTATTGGTTGAGAGCTTAGGCTTCCAACTAAGAGGTTCAGGGTTCGAGTCTATGTGTATGCGTTGTGTGTGTGAGTTTGCCTTAAATGGTCTAAATGTCCAAAAAAAAAAAAAAAAATAGAATTGTTGGGATACCTTTGGAGTGACAATTGTAAGGACGGCTTGCTTCTGCTGCTTTCCCTGAGATACATCTTCTATTAAATGATGTATTTTATTTAGGTTTTTTTTTTCTAAATCTTGTGGAACTAATCGACCTACTGTTAGTGAGGCTACCTTGTTGTATGTGATTTGCTTCAGTTGTTAGTCTTTTGATATTCTGTAAACAATATTAATATGGTTGTATGCAGAATGCTTTCATTGTATTCAATAGCTTTATTAACGTCTTTTGCTTGTGTTAAAAATTTATCAGAAAAATTTATTCGTTTGTGTTCAATTCAATACGCTTATTTTAATTTAATTATTATTTTCCTAGGATCATGTTCAACATCAGAATTTTCTCTGGGAGGTTGATTCCAATCTTCATAGCAGTGGAACTACTAGTAGTTACGTTACAGGGAGATCACCATTTCCTGCTTTGGACGCATTTGTGGAATCCATTGCGTCAATTGGAAGTGCTTTGGGTACTCTTGCGTTTATTTTTTCTTTCTTTGACTATGCATCACCTTATTTCTATGGCTGCATTGTGGTCGCAGCTGTAATGTGATTGGGGAGGGGGCGCATTGAAATAAAAGCTTGTGGGCCTGGTGGTCACAAGTGCTGTGGCTGGTGACACTGAAACAAGGATGTTTGGAAGACTTCACGAATGCACTAACAATTACAAAACTAGTACAAGTAAAAAAAAAAACAACAAAAATGAATTATGATCACAAGATGGCACAATTTATAAGAACCAATAAATCTTGTAAACACAATCACTTTCCATTTCAATTACTGTGTATTTGGCTCACAGGTTCATCCTTGAAACAATACCCATTCTCAGCTCCCAACCCTTATACCCGTGGCTCTTACTTTTGACCGCACTTCTGCTATTTTGACGTTAGAAATAGGATTTTTCTTTGCTGTCTAGAGCATTTGCCACTTCTTCATATCAAGAACTCTTCCAAGTTTTGCTGGTGTTCCAGCACCCTCTGAATCCATAATATACAAATTAGGTAAGCAATCGAACAACAATATAGCAAGAATCAGAACTTAACTAATAATTAAAAAAAAAAAGAGAACCTGATGTAGGGAACGATCTTCTTAATTCAAGAAATGTCATTCTGACTTAATACTGCATCATTTCCTCTGGTTTCTCTTAATTATAACCTCACCACAGCCCTAGTACTTAAATAGGTTTCCAAGGTGTTCTGATATCTTTGTAACCTGCAGCGAATTCAAAGAGCAATGAAAGGTTGATCATTATCAAACTATATGAAAAGGAGAAAAGAAACAAAATAGTCCCTCAACTCTTTAGAAGGGTCCAAAATGTTCCCCAACTATTTTGAGGTACTAATTTGGTCCCTCAACTCTTTAAAATAGGACTATTTTGGTCCTGACATCAAAAAAATAATGAAAAATTTGGATGATAACGAGGGTATGATCGGAATAACAAAAAAAAACAATAATAAGAAAAAGGGTGAACGATAGTTACCTTCATAGCGAGCGAGCTTCCGTCGCTATGTCCGATCCAACAGGAAGAACAACAAGCTTTTGCGACTTCCAATTCTACATGAAGGAGCATCGTCGAAGGCGGCGAAGAAGGCTTTAGCGATCTTGTTCAAAACCCTTGGTCGCTACGTCCTATCCAACAGTAAGAACGGCGAACTTTCATGAATTTCAATTTGAAACGTCGTCGAGGGAGGCGAAGAAAGGCTTTAGCGACTCGTTCAAAACCCTACCTCAAGTGAAGCACACAAAGTCCAACAACAACGAAGAACGCAAAAGAGAGGGAAGGGGTGCAAATTGTTTAGAAATTAATTTATGTAATTTAATTAATATAAATGAATAAATTTTAAAAAATAATTAGATAATTAATCATGTAAATAATAATTAAAGAATTAATTAGATAATTAATATTTTAAATATAAATTAGTAGGGCTGCAAACGAACCGAGCTGAGCCGAGTATGTGAGTGTTCATTTAATATTAGCTTGTTCAAGTTTGGTTCATGTTTGTTCGAGCTTTAGCATTTGTGTTCATGTTTGGTTCATTTAAATTAAAGAGTGTTCATAAAAACACTAGTCAAAAAAAAAAAAAAAAAAAAAAAAAACGAAAGGAACTCCACCAGACGGTCACCTATTTCTCCTCCACGAGCCTAGCCCGGTCTTCCACACGGCACCAACTCCCCTACTCCCATGCGGCCATGCCTGCCTCTGCAAGTCCCGCTTTCGACCTCGTGCTCGTGTTCCGACACCCGCACGCGAATCATGTCTTGCTTCTTGCCTCCAAAGAAACGTTGGTTCTTCCACGTTCTCTCTGCTCCCGACTTGCTTCAGTTGTCCATGTCTTGTGCTACCAAACTACCCACCCGCACATCTCCGGCCCACCGTCTTCACTCCACGCGACCTAGTCTGTCTCTGGCCAGAAGCCCAGCCCACGCGCAACGATTGCGATCCAACTCGTGTGCTTGCTCCTGTGCCGTGAGCCCTCGCCTCAGCTTGATCACAGACAGCTGCCTTTCCTCCTTTCCTGCGAAAGAACACACCTTCTTCCCCCGCAACTAGTTGTGCGCTCCGATCTTGCAAGCCTAGCCTCGCACGAGCATGGCTTGGTTTGATCCTACCCTTGCCCGTGTGGTCCCACTTTTGAACTCGCACAACCTTCGACCTCGTGGCCAGATCGCCCTCGATTCCATGTCTAATCGCCACCTCGAAGCCTGTCGTTCTCTCCCGCAGGCCTGCATGGCCTGCTTGTCGTCTCCACATGAACTGCTCGCTTCAGCTCGACCTCCTGCACTGGGGCTTGTTCTTGATTAGAAGAAACTTCCTCCTTCCTCTTGATCATCTCCACCAGGCTCTTGTACAATTTGTTGGGATTTCTTGGAGAAAGAAAATCTTATTGATTACTACAAGCTCTTCTTAGATGGCTGCTCTAAGAGAATGAATGGAGGGGGCTAGGGGAGAAAAGAGCTCACCTCTACTTACAAGTTATAACATTAATATAAGATAAAATGAACCTATGAAACAAAATAACTAAAACTGGATCAAAATACTAACTGGACACATGAATCATTTTTCTTCATTGTGTCCATTTAAGAGTGTTATATATATATATATATATATATATATATGTGAATTTTGTGTTAATAACTACTTTCCAACAAGCTTCATCTTGCTGGCTGTAATGAGAATTTTTTTTTATCGGTTGTGATGTGGGAGGGCTTAGGTCCATTTACTTGAGAAAATTTTGCTCAAGATTATAGGAACATGAATACTGGCAGCTGTGCTCACTGATGTAGAAGTGCAGGGAAGATCTCTATTCTGAGCATGCTTCGACAGTATAATAGACTGGGTTTTGATAGATTTGCTTGAAAAAACATCACTTTTTTCAGCGGTCCTTATTTGTTAATTATCCTGTTGAAATACTTTTGAATATGCAGATTAACTAATACGTTGGCAATTTCAATTTGATATCCTGCTTTCTATTCTAACTAGGCTTGATTAACTTTGCTTATATATCATATCTGCTTCCCTCTTTCTTTTATCCATCTTCATTTATTTCTTCAGCTCTTTTGGAGAAATATTTTCCGCCTTATTGCCAGTTTACTACAAATGATCATTTTGCTGGTTTCTATTTGAGGAACATGTGCCATGTTCACGAATTCGTTCTTGTGATAACTATTATTTCAAGTTTGAAGGTTCAGTTCCAGGATGTCTGAGTACTTTCTAACTTTTATAAAAAAGCCAGTATATAAATGTTCAATCTTTTTAAAGGTTGTCGTTATTTTTTATTCTCTTTGGCTTTTTTTTTTTCTATTTCAGGGAAAATCCAAAGCTGGTATTGGTTTTCGTCGTATGGCTTAATGGTCTACAACATGTCTAGAAATAGATACTGTGAGCGCATTGGAAGAGAACATAAAAGCAATCACGGTAATGCATTCAGCAGCTTTTTTCCTGTGATTTGAGGCATATTTTACCCATTTAACAATTTTTTCTCTCCTAAAATGCCCCTAACCTTGCTTGGGAATGTCTCCCAGATAATATATTATTTTTGCTTGAGTTGGAAAAAAGTATATTATAAAAAAAATGTTTTTTGTAGCATATTTTTGCGATAAACAATTTTACTAAGTTTGAATTATAGTTGTATTGCCTACGGACTTAATTAAAAACACTGCTGGACTCCCTAATTCGTTTTTGCAGTTTGTTCTAAAAAATTAGCTAACCGTACCGATAGGTGTGGGCTTACTTATTTGTCCCTTTCATTTGTTTTAGTCATGTATTGATTTCCATATCTGATATATGATCGGCATTATGCTTCTGACTGGGCATCAAATTAATTTCATTTGAACTGCAACTTGCTTAAAATTCAGACTTAAAGCTTGAAAATGCCTTTGTTTCCATCTCGAGGCGGTTTGCCTGCTCATTGAGCAGCCTGGCCCAAGTTTTACAGAATAAGTTTTGACACATCTTTGTGGGAGAGCCAAATGAATGCTCTGATAGTAAATGACGTAGAGGTATATGAATGCTCTCTTATAAATTAAGTTAGTTTGAATCGTAGTAAAAATGAGTATAATAGAATAAGAAGAGAGAAAATTCTACATAGACGACTTCGAGTGAAAAGAGGATGAGATCTATAAACAAAAGTGAGAGGGATCATATTAGGAAAGGAAGAAGCAAACAATCATAATTATCCTCATCAAATAATTCATTCATTAGTTAATAATAATCTATAGCTCTTTCTCTTTATAAAGGAAATAAACCCTAGGATTATTCTTGTCTTCAATACATTTAATCTTATAGAAAAAAAAAAAATAAAACATGCAATATTTGGCAAAAAGTCTGATGGGTCTAATGAGGCTTGAAAAATGCTCAATTTAATTTCTACTCTAGCCTTTATAGGCTGAATTGGTTAAATAATCAATCAATATCTTTTTTACTCTACCAATTCACCTAATCCATGCTGAACTCTTCTACGAAGAGTTTTAATGTTTACGCATCATTCAATCCTTAGGTGTAAGATGAACCAATATTTATTTTTTTTGTATTTGACATGCATGTATCTCAAAAGAAAGCGGCTCTTTCTCTTTTTTTCTTTCCTTGCTCTTTCTTCCTTGAGCATAATTTTTTTAAGAGCTAATTGTTTTTTTTTTCTGACCAGTAATGTATGTGGTAGACTTCCAGAGGGCTGGCTACTATCAGAAATGTCATGATCCTGATTGTAGAGGTTTGCTATTTATTATACATCGAATATTATTTAATTTTTTTTGTGACAAGAATCCTTTTTTTTTTCATTAGGCTATCGTTCTCCTCTTCGTCCATTACCATGGGATGTGTTTCCTGACAGTTCTACACTATCAAATTCGATTCAAATAGAGAATTATGAGGAGGTTGTCAATATAGATATTGATCTTCAGCTTGGCAATGCTAACATGGATGCATTTGATAGTGAACAATTATTAACAGATAGTTGCACAGACATGAGCTGGTGGCATGAAGCAATAAATTTTGCTGAATGTATCGAAAACATGAGAAATGTATCTGATTTTAGTGTATTGGTGAGCTACTTGCTTTTCATTTTTGCCTTTTACCTGCAAGTTTGAGAACTTTGATTTTTTTTATTTTTGCCGCCAAGACTAAAGAATGTTACATTGTGTTAATCCCTCTTATTACTTGTTTTCTTTCATTGTCAGATAATATTTCTATTAGTTGTTGTGATTTCCTGCAAGTCCTTTCTTGGTGCACATTCCATTAATCCCTTTCTGCCAAACTATATACTGCTTGTGAAAGGTTTAGGCATCTTGGATCATCATAAAAGCTCTCGATGAGAAAAGTGGAGGGTTGTGTTAGGTAGTCGACAACCAACGTAAAATTTGTCAAATAATCATGGCATGAATCATTTAATACATTGTGTTAATCTAGGGCATTCCTTGGAAGTGACGCGCTATATGGCCTTATGATGCATTCATAATTTGTATTTTTATTATCAAACATTGAACATTAGTTTTTCATTTAGTTTTATATATTTTTAGCTATCCAATGATGGAAGGCATCCAATGATCATGGTGGGTTGTGCTTGGGCTTGGTAGACCTTGGTTTGCTAGCTTGTTTGGATCCCTTGGGCTGCTGCTGGTTCTCAGGTTGGGCTTATGGTTCTCGGTTTTGAGCTAGTGTTGATGTTGGGAGGTGATGGTTGCTTTGGTGTTTAGCTATATTTTCAAAAGTGCTAGCTCATTATTTTTGAGCTCTTGGTTAGCTTATAATGAGCTGAAGTTTAGCTCATTTATTTAAGATTAATGGAAGCTCATTATGGTGGAACTTGTCCATTTCCCTTCCCCATGCTGCCTATCGGTTTCCTCCTTGTCTCATCGGTTTCTCTTGGGCTTTTGCTGTTCTCGTGGCCTTGGCTATTTTTTCTGTGCCTGCGGTTTGTTTTCTGTGCTGGCTGTTCGGGACTCCTGCTGCTGGGTTTCCTGTGACTTCCAGCTGGGTCTTCCGTGGCCTTTTTGCTCTATTTCCTGAGCCGGTTTGGGAGCTGTTGTTTTGTGGCTATTGGACTTTCATTTCCCTAAATCTAATTGGTTTAGTTGGAGGTGCTATGATTGTTTGGTTCCCCTCTCTTGCCTATAAATAAAAGATGTTTTGGAAGGAAAAGGTTGTTGAAGATTGTTGAGCAAAGTCTCTAAAACATGAGGATTTTCTCTTCTTCTTGGAAAAGCTTGAGAGCTTGTTCCACTTCTTTCTCTTCTCTACTTCGTCTGGGCTTCTTACCTCTTCTTCTCTACGCAAGTTCCACCCCACCTGTATCTTTCTTCTTGAGCTTCCTAGTGTTGTTGGTTGGCTGATTTGAGAGCATTTGTCGGAGGAGTTTGGTTGGACATTTGGACCTTCTTACTGCGGTGGACCATCGGTTTGCTAGCCCTAAGCACATACTTTACTTTACCTACATTTCGATGCATGTGAGGAAATCGTTCTGTCGGTTGTTCTGAGGATAGTGTTCTTTTATTTTTCTTTTGTTTCGTTTGATTTCAATTCTTGTTTTGTCCATTGGTTTTGTGTTTTGGATGATTGTTACTATTTGAATCGAGTTTGGTTTTGTGTTGCCCATCGTTCTCCTTATCTGGCTTTTCTTTCCAGTTTGCGTACATCACCTTAATATAGTGAGAAGTGTGCAAGGACCGCTACTTTGTTGTTCGGATGCAGTGTTAAATTGGCAAGGGTTCCCACATCATGAACGGATGCGGGCAAATAAGCTAGTTCACGAAACTAAAATTAGGTTAGGATCTTGGAATGTAGATTCTCTTACATGCAAATTAATGGAATTAATTGATATTATGATTCATAGGAAGATAAATATTATATGCATTCATGAAACTAAATAGGTGGGAGAAAAGGCTAAGAAGATTAATAGTTTAGGATTTAAACTCTGATATTCAGGTGGAGTTGTATGAGAAATGATGTAGGTGTGATTATAGATAAGAGTTTGAAAGATAATGTTGTAAAATTGATAGAATTGGAGACAGAGTTATAGCTTTAAATATTATTGTTGATGATAAGATTATTAATTTTATTAGTGCTTATGCTCCTCAAATAGGTTTGGATATATGCTCAAAATTAAAATTTCGGAATGACTTAGAAGAATTAATACAAAAGATACCTCTTGAAGAAAGAATTTTTATTGAGGGTGATTTAAATGGACATGTTGGTAGAGGTAGAGGATTTCAAAAGCATTCATGGTGGCTATGAATTTGGAGTGACTAATGAAGGTGGTAAGACTATATTTGATTTTGCTCTAGCTTATGATTTTGTTATTGCTAATACCTTATTTAAGAAAAGAGATGAACATCTCATCACTTATTGGAATGGATATAGTAAAACTCGGATTGCTTATTTTCTTGTAAGAAAAATAGATAGTTTATATTGCAGAGATTGTAAAGTTATATTCCGAGTGAAAGTTTATGTACCCAACGCCGCTTATTAGTTTTGGATTTTTAGATGAAAGGGGCAGAGTATGAAAAATATAATATATCGTTGTTTTAGGATTAGATGGTGGAATTTAAAGAACTCTAATAAAAATATCTTTGAGAATAAGATTCACGATCTTAAAATTTTTTCGGTGCATGAGTAAGCTAATGTTATGTGGGAAATAGTAGCTTGTAATATTAAGAATGTTGCAAATGATGTGTTTGGAGTATCAAAAGAAAAAGTTTTTAATAGTAAAAATAGTTGGTGATAGAATTAAAATGTGCAAGAAAAGATAAAAAAATAAGAAGCTCTGTTATAAAAATTGGTTTAGATGTAAAAATTTTAAAAATTGAGAAATATATAAGTTGTCTGTAAGGAGGCTAAGAAAATATTTTACAATGCAAAGATTTTAACTTTTAATGATTTATATAATATAGTAGATACTAAAGAGGGCGAAAGATATATGCATAAGCTAGCCAAACAAAGTGATAGGAGTAGTAAGGATTTAGTTTAAGTGAAGTGCATTAAAGATGAAGATCAAAAAGTATTTTTTTAGAAGATGATATTCTACAATGGTGGATGGTATATTTTTCTAAGCTTTTCAATGAATATTGTGGAAAAAACGATTGACTTCAGTAACCTTAACATTATAAATGAAAATAGATATTTTTGTTTTTATCGGCGTATTACTAAAACTGAAGTTAGAGAGGCTTTAAAGAAAATGAAGTGTGGGAAAACTGTTGGGTCTGATGATATTCCAATAGAGGTGTGGAAAGGCTTAGGAGATGAAGGAATTTCTTGGCTTATTAAATTTTTTAATATTATTTTGAAGACTAAAAAATATCAGATGTGTGGAGAATGAGTGTGTTGATTCATATATTTAAGAATAAAGGTGATGTACAAGATTGTGCAAATTTTAAAGGAATTAAGTTGATGTGTTATACTTTAAAACTATGGGAGAGTTATGGAGCATAGGTTACGACATGATACTAATGTTTCTCAAAATCAATTTGGATTCATGCTAGGTAGGTATACTATGGAAGCCATACATTTATTTAGAGGTTTGATGGAGAAGTATAAATAGAAAAAGGAAAATCTTCATATGATATTGAATTAGAGAAAGCATATGATAAAGTTCAAAGAGAAGTGCTATGGAGAGTTCTAAAAATGAAAGGGATTAATAATGCTTATATTCAAGTCATTAGGGATATGTATAATGGAGCTGTTACGTGTTCAAACACAAGGTGGTTTGACTAAGTATTTTCCAATTTCAGTTGGATTACATCAATGATCAGCCTTAAACTCATATCTTTTTTACTTTAGTCATGAATGTTCTTACTAGAGATTTGCAAGAGGAAGTTCCCTGGTGTATGTTTTTTGCTGACGATAGTCTTCTTATTGATAAGACTAAAGAGTGAGTTGAAGGTAAACTTGAATTATGGAGGTCAACCTTAGAATCTAAAGGTTTTTGTTTGATTAGATCTAAAACTGAATATATGGAGTATAATTTTAGTAGTAATAGATGTAGTGTGTGTGTGTGTGGGGGGGGGGTTGACTTTGAGCGATAAAGTCATTAATAAGAGTACATGTTTTAGATATATTTAGTCTATTGTTCAGAGTGATGGTAAAATAGATGGGGATATTATTAGTAGAATTCAAGTTGGATGGATGAAGTGGAGAAATGCATCGAGCTTATTGCGTGATAGAAAAATACCACTCAAATTTAAGGGAAAATACCATAAGTTGTGATGAGACCTGCAATGATTTATGGTGCCAAATGTTGGTTATTAAAAGAGAAGCATAATAATAAGTTAAGTGTTGCAGAGATGAGGATGGTGGATGAGTGGCTTTACCCTTAGAGATAAGATACAAAATGAGCATATACATGAACAAGTTGGAGCAGCTCCAGTGGAAGATAAGACTAGAGAGAGTCGCATTAGATGGTTTGGTCACATAACACGACGGCCTTCTGATGTCCCGATTAGGAAAGTAGATGTATTAGATTTGACTTATATTAAGAAAGGTAGAGGTAGACCTAAAATGATTTGGTTAAAAAATATTAGAAATGATATTTCTTTATTAGATTTAAACGAGAATTAAACTTTTAATAGAACACAATGGAGAAAAAAGATTCATGTAGCCGACCCCATATAGTGGGACAAAGCCTTGATGTTGTTGTTGTTATTATCTTTGTAATATCACATATAATTGTTACCAAAACAATTTAATCTTTTGTGCTTTCAAACCTAATTTAAATACTAATAATCCTTTTAGTCTATACAAATTAGTTTATTTTAAATTGTCAATTGGATTAATTTTTTTAGTAGCCCAACAAATTAATTGTGAGTATTCTAGCCGTATGTTAAACTCTATTTTGATGCTAAGCATCCTAACTGTGAACATATAACTTAAGAGTAGTTGGTACAGTCATTTCAACCACACATAATAACATAATTTTTTTTTTCTTTGATGTTTGCACATTTAAACTCTTAAATGAATGGTAGATACTTCTGAATACATTATATTTGTCAGTACTATCGCTTTTTGGAACTATCATAATTAAAATTTATTTTTTATGAAATTTCATTTTGGAAATACAATTGCTTCCAGACCTTGCTTTGGATTTTCTTTCACATTATTGCTTTGATACAGATTCTCTTATGAAGAGAAAAGAAAAGGAAAAATGGTCATTCACTCTTTCACATAATTGCTTGTATACAGGCTTTGTTTATATCCACTTTTTTACATTTTTCAGTAATATATTTTTAATTTTCCCTACTTGCAGGATAAAGATATTATGGATGATGATTCTGCTTGGTGGACCTATGTCGAAAAGATTGTCACAAGTTGAATAGTAAACCAGTTTATGCTTGCGTTTTGCTCAAAGGCTAATCATGTGTCAAGAGAACGAGAAATTATTCTATGCGGACACTGGACGGTCCGGAGACCAATTAGAACACGGTCACCAGTACACAGCGGTACCAAGCACCGGTACCGAAAAAAAAAGTAACGTGGAGCATTCTGATTGGTCTTCGAATGCCGTCCAAGATCCGCACATAATAATTTTCCCAGAGAACACCCTATTATGTTCGATTTTGAAATTGTAGGAGCAAATTTTGAGTATTTGTAATTTTATTTTATAACTTGTAACTTTTTATATATCTAATGTCCTTTTTTATTCGATCAGTAGTGGAATTAGAAAGGCCCATACAGTTATGAAATTATCTCTTAACTGTTATAGTTATGTATAATATATAGGTAAGATTTAAGTCGTGTTTGGAACAGCTTTTGGACATTTTTTTTACTGTTTTTAAGAATATTTTATACTAAAATGCTGCTTTAGAAAGTAATAAAAAAACTGTCCTAAACTAAACCTTAATCACTTATTCGTCTGTCTTATTTTTGTTGTTCATCCCGTTTCTTACCGAACTATGCTGTTCTGATGTTTTTTGTTTTCATAAATTGAAGTCTGAAAGCCCTGCCGGTCCTTTGAGGTTCTTGTTCAGTATTAATATTTTTTTAATATTGTGCTGGTATATTAGTGTGCCCAGCTAATATTATAAGACGATGATAAGTAGGCGAATTTCATCAATCAATTTGTATATGCAATCACATATGTTTAATTTATTCGCATTATGTATGTCTTTTAATAATTTTTTTTATGGTGCGCATTATATTATATGATATATTTAATTGAAGCATGATCAATAATTTCAATATAAAAACAATATTAAGTTTTTGGCTTCCTTGACTATATGATCACTTTGACTAAGGCTTCGTTTAGGAAGGCTTTTTGCGGCTTCTTAAAGCAGATTTCAAGTACAAAAATTTCAACTTTTGTACTAAAAAGTTGTTTCAAGAAGCAGTAAAAAAAGTTGTCCCAAACGAAGCTTAAGTCTCTCGATTGAGACCTATTTAATACATATAGATTACCTACATGAGCATGTATGAGTATACATAGTTAATAAGATATGGCATAAGCACAACATCAAACAACTCTAAATCTTAATGAATATTTTCTTGTTATTATATTCATTTTCCCTCCTCATTGGGTACCAATGTACATATCTTTCTCAAATCTATGAACTCTTAGTGCCCAAGTTCCTCTCATCTCTTTTAGAGAACGAGTTTCTACCATTTATGTCAATCACCCAAACCATCATGTTTGGTGCTCTGTACATGCTCTTGAAATTTTATCTCTTTATCCTTTATCCTTTAGATCTCTTACAAATTATTATTGCTTTCCAAGTTACAACTTATCAGACAAATATGACGTAAGTTCATGATTGAATTACTTCCAACTCTTTGCAATCATTTGTGCCTCTTCCTTTTGACATTTATATGGTTTACTCATCCTTATTCCGGGATTATATCAAAATATTTTTTTTCTCCATTCTCAACAACATTGAGATTCAAAATAATTTTCTTAAGTAGTTGGGAATTTGATTGGATTATGATATTTTAGTTCTTGAATTTTTTTTGATTAGTTAGAATTAATGGAATAAAACAATGTAGCAATATTATTTAAAATTATGTATTTTATTTTATTTATTTGTTTTGAGAAATTAAGGGTACAATTTAAATAGATATACAACATATACGTGAGACTCGAATCCAAAACTCCTTAGTTGAGAGCCAAACTCCCAACCAACAACAAAAAATAAAAAAAAACTACATAAATAATGTATTTTATAAATGAATATGACTATTTAGTATAACAAGTAAAATTCCTTGGTCATCATTTTAATTTTGTCCACGAGAAGTTCATTTTATTTTATCTATCATCCAACACACACGTACCCGATGCTGTCACGCGTGCGCGCGCTTTCAAAATGATAGATAGAGTGTCTCCCGACCTGATAGTGGAAGAGGTTTTTTTTTTTTTTTTTGGGACATTTAGGCCATTTAAGGCAAACTCACACACACAACGCATACACATAGACTCGAACCCTGAACATCTTAGTTGGAAGTCTAAGCTCTCAACCAATAGGCCAAGGAGAGTTGTGTGTGGAAGAGGTTTTGGCTATTAAATTTTTTATTTTTAGTAATCTGTTGATGTGCTGTAGCCCTTATCAAGTTTTGGCCGGCCGGCTCGCCGCTTCGCATTTAGCAGTCGTCGCATACCCGACACTCAGCCAAGTTTTCGTCTCCTTCAGACCTACACCAGAGCCATTCCATCTGATTGTTGGCGAGCCAGTGGTTCCCGAACCCTAAATGGCGCTGCCTTACTTGGAAGCGGTTTTGGGTATGCGCCCGCGACCCTTTGATTGATCACTTTATTTTTATAATGATTTTTTATGCGTGTATTCCTTTCCCTGCGTATTGTTTTCGAGTATCGATTATCATGGCATGATCCATCTTGTTTTCATGGTTCCCTTTTCATTTACACCAGATTGGGATCCTGAGAGATGTTGGAAAAGCAACCCAATAAAGTGCTCCATTCGTTCCCTAAGAATGAAACTTGCATTTGATTCTTAGCTGAATGCAGCACTGTTTCCAAGTTTTAAGAACTCTGAATATATGTAGAACTCGTATTAATCTCTTGATTATGATTAGGGGGGGGGTGGGTTTCTTTGGTAATTCAAAAAGAAGTTGTTGGAGATATTGATCTGATGATCATAGATATGCCATATCAGCTTTTTAATAGCTATATGTTCGAGGCCCATAACTATTGTTGGTTCTGGGCATTCTGATTTTCCCTACAGGATTTTGGATTAGATTTTCATTATGAAATTTTGTAACTTCCAATGGTTTTGTTGAGGAGGACGATGGTTTAAATCCCTTAAATGAGAAAGATAATGCATTGTTGTGTTATCCTTGAATTTTTTCTGTTTCAAATTGATTTGATGATCCACACACATCATTGAGTGGGGATTAGAACAATCTTGATTTACTCATACTCATATCACTTGCTTTTGTGATTCAAAAAAAAGTTGTAGGAGATATTGATCTGATGATCATAGATATGCCATATCAGCTTTTTAATGGCTAGGTTCAAGGCCCATAACTATTGTTGGTTCTGGGAATTCTGAATTTCCCTACAGGATTTTGGATTAGGTTTTCGTTATGAAATTTTGTAACTTCCAATGGTTTTGATAAGGAGGATGATGTTTTGTGTCCCTTAAATGAGAAAGATAATGCATTGTTGTGCTATCCTTAAATTTTTTTCTGTTTCAAATTGATTTGATGATCTACACACATCATTGAGTGGGGATTCGAACAATCTTGATTTACTCATGCTCATATCGGCATGACATGATCATTTAGAATCAAGTAAGCTAAGATTTGGAAATTGAATAGATCCAAAGTGGGATCCTTCTTGTACCTAGCTTTATCAAAGCTTCTTTAGTCACAATTAATTCAAACTTATGGGCTCCCTTTGGTAGCAAATTCCCTCTGGATGGGCTGACCTTATTTTTTCACTTATTGTGCAAACTAGAGCAACAAAATTACTTAAAAAATTCTCACGATACAATGATACACGAGGTAACAATATTTTAATTTTTGCATCTTGTTTAGATTTTTGAGATGATATCTTTGTTAATGTGATGTAGGCATAAAATATTGTTTATTCCAAAGGTACATTTGCTGAGATTTATCGATAATGATATGGTAGAATATCCATTTAATTTGAATCAAATTCAAATTATCATAGGTTGGTTATGTTTTGCCAAGGAGAAATTAAAATGAACTATGCTGTTTAGTTGTACAAAAGAGTATATTGCATGTATTTTATTACGAAGGAAGAATTCTAGAAAAAGATATCTCCAACAATAAAATGTTGTAGATTTTGAAAAATTAAAATTTATTAATTAAAAAAAATATTTTGTTGGAGGAAACATGCGGGATTAAAAAACTTATTGAAGCTATTCTAAATAGAAGCATCCAATAATTAAATGATGTAATTGCAAAAATATTTTGGATTAAAAAAAAAGATATTAGAAGAGAACAATTCGGGTTAAAATTTATCATTAGTTGTTGCAATCTGACACGTATAATTTGTTTAAGAATGATGCTAATTATGTTGACAAATAGTATAACTGTAAATCATAGATAAAACAACAACAAAAAAGTCAAACCTTTATCCCACTATGTGGGGTCGGTTACATGAATCCTTTTTATCCATTGTGCCCTATTAAAAGTTAAATTCTCATTTAAATCTAATAAAGAAATGTTATTTATAATATTTTCTTACCAAGTCTTTTTAGGTCCACCTCTACCTTTCTTAACATAAGTCAAATCTAATACATCTACTTTCCTAACCGGGTCATCGGAAGGCTGCCGTTTTATGTGACCAAACCATCTAGGGTGACTCTCTCTAATCTTATCTTCCACTAGAGTTACTCTAACCTTTTCACGTATATGCTCATTTTGTATCCTGTCTCTAAGAGTAAAGCCACTCATCCACCTGAGCATCCTCATCTATGCAACACTTAACTTAATATTATGCTTTTCTTTTAATGGCCAACATTCTGCACTATAAAGCATTGCAGGTCTAACTGTAAATCATGGATGATTAATGATATTTTGAGGTGAAATGTTGTAAATAGGTAATTTAAGATAATAAATATTTTTTAATGAATGATGGTATAGAATATATAACAATAAGGTTCATTTAGAAAAATCTAAGGAATCCACCAGTCATAAAGCATAAACAATAATAAAGATAACATAGTAGAAAGTAAAAAAATAGTTAAGCTGGCCTGTACAGGTGTGGTGATGAGAAGAGGAATGAAGAGATAAAAATAATGTAAATGGGCTAGGAAGCAATATAGGTCACTAACATAAGGTATCTATGTTTTACAAGGCATTTTTAGGGATCTCTTGCGGCTCACCTCCAAACTGGCCAAGTTGCCTCATACATATATTTAGGCATCGCCTTTGGCTTATTAGGGAAAGAATCTATTAATATAACTTAAATTAAATTAAATTAAATTACCATATTAATTATTTTAATTTGTTACAAAAGTTCTTTCTATTTATTTATATAGGAATACGAGTGAAATGATTATTTGTGTTTTAATCTTTTAAGAGTTAAGTCTTACAAAATTATTACTCTCTTACGAGCCCATAGAAACATTGAAGCCCTAAGCCTCAATCACCTTTATCTTACTCTAGTCTCATCTATCCCTGATCTTTGTTCACTTCACTAGTGATTTCCATGTTGCTTTAGATATCCCTCGTGGACTTATCTCTCTTTGTCCTCTCATCTTATTTCATTTTGATGTTTTATTTTGTTTGTTGTTATATATTTTACTTAATTAGACTTTGAAGTTAGAATATGAATCATACGGCTATGGTCATTAGATTTATGAATATATATATATATATAATATAATCATATTTTGTATATAGAAATACAAGAAATATTAAATTCTTTGGGCTAATGACATGGGGCTAGCTGACACCCATTTGTTGGGAGAACACCTCACCTTATGCCTCAATCTTTTAAAACATTATGAAATACACAGGCAAACATACTTCAAATTAGTTTCACACCAAATATGCCTCTATGGAATAATATGGTGAAGCATGATTCAATATGTCGACTGCAAAATAGTCGGTAAAGGGTCATGATAATCTGCTGTTGCCAATGATGAATTGATTATATAATTTAAAATAGTTCATGCTAGAACAAAACTTTCATCTTGTCTAGATTTTGCTTCCATGTATGCATATAAATTTCCTAACTGTTCTTGAAATGGTACACATTTGAGAGGTATTAAGAGGTGCCTATATATCTAATGTAAACATCTATGCTCTCACAAAGCCTGCTCTTGGTAACCAAACATAAGAGATATACACCCTCAAGATTTATTAGGGAGATGACTGAGAAGAAGACATTGCGATCAAGGATTTTGAGGTTCTAATTTTGAGCATATTTGATGTAGGCAAAGGGTGGGGTCAATAGATATTTTCAGTGCCTTGGCTCTTGGGCTGATTTGGTTCATGGTTTGAAGTTTGGCTAGTTGGCTGCTGTTTTAATAAGCTGCTTTAGTTTTTCTACTTCTGCTCAGTTCATTTATTATTACTGTAAACAGTCTCCTTTTTAGCTCATAAATTATGGCTCTCCCCCCTGTTTTGGCCTTCGGTTTCTCCACCAGGCTGTCCATGTTCTTGTGAAAAGCCCCCTGGCTCCCCCTTCCCGTGGCTGTTTCCTTCCCCCCTTGGTTTCCTGTTTCGGTTTCCCTTGTGGCTGCTTATTCCGTTCCCTTTGGCCACCCGTTCCTTCTCCCTTTGGCTGCCTGTTCCACTTCCCCTTTGGTCACCCGTTCCTTTCCCCCTTGGCTGCCTTTTCCGGTTTCTGTGTGGCTTTTCGGGGTCTGTTTCTGGACTGAAAGTTGGCCCCCTTTGTGGCTCTTTGGGTGCTGTTCCTGGACAGCCCCTTGGCCTTCTATTTCCCCTATTTTTAATTGGTCCGTCTAATTAATGGTCTTTTGGGCTGTTTGGCTGCCCCTTTTCCCCTATAAATATGTGATGTTTTTGTGGATAAAAAGATAGCTTATGATGTGATTTTTGGATCTAAAAATCTGAGGGTTTTTCTTCCTTCTTTGGAAAAGCTTGCGAGCTTGTTCCGTTCTTCCTCTCCCTCTAGGAAAACTTGAAAGCTTGTCCTCTCTTCGTCTTGGACTTCTTACCTCTTTCTTCTCTCCGCAAGGTCGATGCCATCTGTATCTTTCTTCTCAAGTGATGGAAATGCAAGCTTAGGATTTCATTTCAAGTTGTCAAAATGATGTTGTGTCTTTTTTTTTTTAAGTTGTAAGCGTCGTTTTATTTCCATAAAAGTTGTATTTTTGAGTATTATTGCATATTTTCTACTTTCCTAGTCTCCTTTTTTATATGCTTGCAAAAAGTAGGGGTCTCCCTTTATTTTTGCCTGCATCAATATTACTGCCTCAAGTAGCATTATTTGGTTCCTCAAGTGCTTGGTTTAATAATGCTGCTAATGTATGACAGATGAGCAAGTTATATACAAATTCAAAAAAAAAAAAAATCTTCTGGAAAAACATAGAAGATATAGGTCTATTGTATGAACTAAACTTCGATCCAACTTTGTGTTGACAATTGTAGTATTGTTGGATTTTTTTGTTTGTTTGCCATATTTATGGTAGGAATTGTAACCTGCAATGTTATTTCTTTTCCAGGCTTTATGATCTTCATGTATATTTTTGAGACTTATCTTGACATTCGACAAAACGGAGCTTTGAAGTTGCCTAGCCTTCCCAAACAGTTAGAAGGAGTAGTGAGTCACGAGAAGTTTGAAAAATCTAAAGCTTACAGCCTCGAAAAAAGGTTCATTCTTCCTTGAGGTTTACAACTAGTCAATTTTTCTTTTTTGGTAATCAATTAGTCCATTTGTGAAGGTATTTTACAGTCAATGTAATCATTCTTGTATCATATGTCTAAGTTTGGTAGACCTGCATGATTATTTGAGAAACTATAATGCATTATTCAAAATTGAAGACTGACCCATTCTTTTTGATTTGTCAGCCATTTTCACTTTATTCATGAAGCTGTAACTATTGTAATGGACACATCAATTTTGTACTTTGGTGTGCTACCATGGTTTTGGGAGGTAAAAGGACTTGCTATTTATTTTATGATTTTTTTTCATGGGGCATACAGTTTGGTTCTCTTTTTGGCTGCAGAAATCTGGAAATTTTGCATCACACATGGGTCTGAATTCTGAAAACGAGATAATACATACTCTGTCGTTTTTAGCTGGTGTTATGGTTTGGTCACAGGTATGCTTATTAGTTCTTAGAACATTAAAAAGATTCATTCATGAAGTATCTCTGTTATACATTTAATAGTAGTAGTGCTGTAAATTTTTTTTTTCAATTTGCATATGCCCATCTGGTGAGTTGTGTTCTTCATCATCACAAATTGAGCTGGTGTAAACTGTTTTATCCAAAACTGGGTTTATATAAATCATATATGTTCATTTTTCCACACTACATACTGTGATCTTGTTGATATGATTCAATGAATCTAAACAATGATGATATGCTACTCTCTGAAGCTCCTTAGAAATTAATCCATTTTAAGATTAAAAAGTTTTTGAAATTTTTAGCAAGCTCTTTTACATATCATTATTGAAGGGAAGTTGTTCCTGTTAGTATAAATGGTATATGTACATCTAGTTTGCATTTGTTTTTACTCTGCCTTGTTTATTTTTTCTCCATGCTGGATGCTGAAGAGTGATAATTATGTTTTCATTGGAACTTTTAATTGTTCATTGCTTAGATTATTACTTATGATAATGCTTATTGATTTGTTTTCTAATTTTGTGCAGATAACTGACCTTCCATTTGCCCTTTATTCAACATTTGTGATTGAGGCTCGCCATGGTTTTAACAAAGTGAGCCGAACTTTTTTGATGCTGTATTGTATTTAATATGCATCTTTGGCATTATGTTTTCTATGTCAGACAGAAGCTGCGTTTCACATAATCTTGATATTACTTGTTGTTTTTTTCATTGACTTTGTGCTGAAAGTTCTTTGCCGCTTTCTATTGCTGTCTCATACTGACCTTTTCTTCTTCAGCAAACAATCTGGCTTTTCTTTAGAGACCTGTTCAAGGGAATTTGTCTTTCCATCCTGCTTGGGCCACCTATTGTTGCTGCTTTAATTGTTATAGTACAGGTGTGTTTTTCATTTTCCTGATGCTTTTTTACGATATTTATGTACAAATCATGTCGTGTTATGGATTAACTGTTTATTTTCATTAATTTCAATGTTTTACTTTTTGAATTCATAATGTCTGATTGATTGTCTAATTATTATTGCTGGGCAGAAAGGTGGTCCTTATCTGGCAATCTACCTCTGGGCTTTTATGTTCGTTCTTTCCATTGTAATGATGACTATTTATCCTGTTCTAATAGCACCGCTCTTTAATAAGTTTACCCCTGTAAGTATTTTGTTTATTTCTGTTGTCCTTAGTAGCTATTGAATTTGGCTAACAGCTCTTTAGCATGTATATTGTTGAACTAGGATATTATTTCCTGTTGATAATGTTGATCTTATTTGTATTTAAATTTAAGATTTTTTTTTTTGCACAATCTTATGTAATTTTTCTAACATGCCCTTTCTCTGGCAACACCCTGCTAATAGCTTCCAGATGGAGAACTAAGGGAAAAGATTGAGAAATTGGCAGCCTCCCTCAAATTTCCTTTGAAAAAATTATTTGTTATTGATGGATCGACAAGGTCAAGCCATAGTAATGTCAGTATTCTCTACTTGGTCTTTTTTCTTTAATTTTTGTAAATTTATTGTTGTTACTGTAGTTTATGTGCTTTAACTGATGCTGTGGCCTTTTAACTATTTTATTCGGGAAGATTTATTGACCTAAATGTTTCACATTTTAGATTGATGAGAAATGAATGAGAAGTTAATGGACAGAGCACTCGATCAACCCTTATTTTATGAGCAGATAAGAACTCATAAATTGAAAGGTGTACATATAACATTTGCTTTGTTTCAATTTTGCGAAAGGCGGAAGATGCTAATTGATGTTGGATGTTTTAGGCTTTAGGATTTACAAATGCATATTTAGAATGAGATGTGCAATGAAATAATCAAAAGATCACAATTCATACTTTCCGAAGTTTTAATTTCTTGACCTTTGCTTATTAGATTTAAATGAGAATTGAACCTTTAATAGGACACAATGGAGAAAGAAGATTTATGTAGTCGATAAAATAAATTAAAAAAAAAAAGATTCATGTAGTTGACCCTACGTGGTGGGATGAAGGCTTGATGTTGTTGCTGTTATGTTGTTTGATACAAAGTAAGAAGATTAATTTAGTTTGTTTCAAATAATACGATAAAAGTGGCCAAAATCTGAAATTCTCTACTAGAAATTTGAGAATGATTGTAAATTTTATTCCTATTAAGCTCACAAAACAAAATGAAAACTAATGTATAAAGAATTTAGCCAAATCTCAATCACACATGCAAAATCTATCAAAAATAATTTCGATGAAAGAACATAGGATGTGACTCATCCTTTTAGAGATCTAGTCGTCACATCGATACGAGAAGAAACATTCCCAGAAATTCCCATCAAGACTTGCAAAGTGATCAAAGAATTCATAGCCGACAACACACAAGTATTGAGAGGAAATTTGAATTTATTTTAAACTATAGACTGCATTTTACATTTCTAAGAATCTCCTATTTATAATAAGGACCAAAAAAATAATAACTTCTCATATCTTTTAAGGTCCAGACTAAAACTGTAAATTTCAGCTCAACAATTTCAGATTTTATGAAGTCAATAATTTTATCACATATTGACAAATTAGCAAGTCTCGATTTCCAGCACAAAGAAGAAATTATAGGTTCGGATCCCATTTACAATACCAGATACGAGTTCAGAAAATAGAGCAGCCAACTGACTATGGTAGCAAAGCGTTGAAGGAAACATGGCTGCTGATTGACTATGGCAGGAAAGTGAGCAGTAGAATAGTTACAGGGGAAAAGAAACACAATAATAAGGGATCGACTGAGCTGAGTCAAATTACTTGCAATAGTAAATCAAGCGTATCTGGATAGGACACATTCCATTTTAATAGGCGTGTTTTATGACAATATAATCTTGGAAAGCAGAAACCAACAAGGCATAGGACAACTAAAATGATATCATCACATTTGATTTGTGTTTCCAAGAAGTTAAAGACTTTTAGGGTTGAATCGCTGTTTCTATCATCTGTCCAATTCATGTTTTAAACTTTCAACTACGAACTTTGAATACATTTTCCATTTGGTGTAGATTATGCTCTGCAGCAATTACTGCTGTTAAAGCATATCGATAGAAATTACATTAAATGTTTTGAAGTTTCAGTGCCTCCATAGTGGAAGATATAACTAAATAATGCCAAGTACAATTTTACTCAACAGGAGATCAAGGAAAGCCAGAAAACTGCAGGTATCACAATTGCTGAAACCAATAAATGCAGAAAAAAGAGCTAAATGCCTAACGTGCAATATCTTTAAGATATATAAAGTATCCAGAAGTTTTCTGTGGTAGAAGTTAGTCGAAATAATTAGAACAAATAAAGGCTTAAACAAAAGATGGTCCACACTTCAGGGTTGAAACGGCAATGCATAGGTTATTGGTGAAATAAAAATTTGCAATATCAATCAAGAGTATTTCCTTTTCGGTTTTGGCAGCATAATGATTGCATGAAATGGCTTGCCCAATAACATAATTTAAATAGATCCTGTTGAGAAGTCATTTGGCTCAATATTTTTAGTAAAAATTCCCGTAATATATATGACTGCCTTGATTTCCAAGTTGCAATTATAGTACTCGTTGAGTTGGATGAGGCGATGCCGATGCAATTATATTTGATGATATAATTGATATGTAACTGTTAAGGAGTTTTTTTAGGTCGATTTGGCACTTGTAATGTCAAGTATTTTTCAATCTTAAAGGAAAAGTTAGGTTTTGCTGTTTGATTTATTGTGGATTACCTGAATTGAAAAGCTTTCTATTTAATTTTTAGCTTATATGTGTTATCATAAATTAAGAATGTTCGGTGAACTTTCAATGGGATGCTAACAAAAATCTTCCCATCAATCCCATTCCTTCAATGCCATAAATTTAAGAATGTGTGTTGATAATTTCTTGAAAAATAGAATGAGAAGAAAAAAAATATTAGAAAATTGGAGATTGTATACTGAGTTTTTGATGCATGCAAAAATTAGGAGAAAGCCTAATTTTTGCAAGTAAAAACAAAGACTTCTTAAATAAGTAGAAAATTACATGAAATACTCAAAAAGACACTTTTTATAATATAAAAGGACACTTACAAACTTATGAAAATAAAACGAACATCTTACAATTATTGACGTTTACAAACACAAAATAAAGACTCCTAAAGGAGCTTGCATTCGTCGAGAAGAAAGATACATGTGACGTCGAACTTGCGGAGATAAGAAAGAGGTTAGAAGACGAGACGATGGAGAGGACAAGTTCTCAAGCTTTCCTAGAGGAAGACGAAGAGAAGTGGAACAAGCTCTCAAGCTTTTCAAAGAAAGAAGAAAAAACCCTCAGGTTTTTGACTCCAAAAATAACATCATAATACTTCTTAAAACGCACAAAACACCTTATATTAATAGGAGAAAAGCTGGCAGCTAAACAACCATTTTACCGCCAACCAAACCAATAAAAAAGGCCTGAAATAATCTCATAACAGCACCCAAAGAGACAACACAAAGAACCGAGTAAAAGCAGCCATGGGAAAGGAGCAAGCTCCCGGGGAATCGGGACAGAGCAGGGAATCAGAACAACCCACAGAAAGGAGCAGGGAACAGCCACGAGAAACAGCAACCAGGGAGAAACCGAGGGGACATAAAGAAGGGGAAGAGGCAAGGTTCCAAATAATTAGGAAAGATCAAAATAGTTTCTACAATGATAAAATATAGTTGGGGACCATTTTGGTCCCTCATAAAGAGTCAATGGACCATTTTGATTATTTTTTCCTAGTTAAATTTATGCTGAGTTTTAGATGTTGATCATGCCTGATTTGTTGATTGATATCTTTAGTTTGATAGTTTGTTAGAACATAATTTTGTTGAGTTACTCAATTTTTAATTTTTAAATATAAAATATCAATCTATCTTAGTGTGTTTAATGCTAGGGTAGACAATAGTTTTTTTGCAATACTTAGGGCATTATGATTGTCAAATTATACATTTAGAGTTTTTTTTGTTTTTTTTTTTTTTCACTTGATAGTTTAGTTATGCTAACAATCATTTTAATAATTTTCTTTTGTAAATACCAAATGCCACTTCCCTAAGTTAGCTTAAACATTTCTTTTTAAGGCCGCATATTATTTCTTACTTCCCTATGTAATCCCCTTGTATATATGGACAATAACTAGAGGTTGATCTTCAATTTGATCCATATCTAGCCTATGAAAATTTCAATTTTCTTATTGTATGACTTTTAATTAATAGGCTTTTTCTTAGTATCAATTTGTGGTTCCTTAGAATGCGGTTAACACTTTCATGTGATTTTTAATAGGGTTGTTCATGTATTGACTTACAATACTAGCAAGGAACCCACTTCCAGGACTATTGAAAGAGAGGTTGATGAGTTTTCTTACAAGACGTTGATACAATGCTTTATTCATAAATTATAAATAATTCATTAAAATACTAAAAATGAAATTAACCATCAACATATTTTTTTATTCATTATCATAAGGATATAAGAAAAATATCAATACAAATGTTATTATAACACAGTTTGAAACGAGATTCAAAGCAAACACTTCGAACTTTCAACTAGTCACAATTGATCAAATGACATGACTTTGCCTCTATAATCGACTTCAGTAGGTGCTTGAATAATGACAACTACCTACACTAGGAATTAAGCACTTGAAAGAAAAATGTAAATAAACATGAAGATTCATACCATGCTAGTTCAATTGTATATCACCTTAGTTTGTGTGCTGGCATGTCAAGTCCTCAAGCTATGATCTCTAAATAAACTAAGCAAAAAATTAAGCTCTTTCTAATAATTGATTTGATAAAAGTAGGGCACCTTAATCTCTAATGAAAGCTAAGGTTATTAGGTGATCATAACCATAGAAACTACATGTTCATAAGCCTTGGGTCTTCAAAATACAAAAGCTCTCAAGTGTCAATCTTTTAATGCAGTCATAATACTTTGTAGTTGAGCAAGACAAAGTCCAAGACATGTAAAGCCTTTAATAAGTTGAGAAAAAAAAAAAAAAAAAACTAGAAGACTGGCTAGATAACTGACCTAGGCCGAGTAGTAAATTTCCAGTTTTCTTTTCCACTGCAAAGAAGATGCTTACGCACGGCTTCCCAATCCTGTTCTCGATCCTGATGAATCATGATGCCCTACTTTGCACTAGGGTGCGATGACGTAGAAGAAAATGCACATTAGGTTGCATACAAAGAAGGAAGAAGAATACAATACACACGAAGAAGATTCAGCTTGCATGAGGCTTCCTGGTCTTGATTCTGCTTGGAGCCCATGAAGTAATATATTAGAATAGAGTTTATATTGATAATAATAATATATATATTAAATAATTTATAAAATTTAATCGAATTGAGGTACCACCTTGAAATGCCTCTAGGTGTTAATCCTTGACCTGCACACCTCATTTAAAAAGCGTAAGTCTCATTGGAGCCAGCTTGGCTTAAGCCTTGAGGCGCTCCTTGTGCATCTTAATTTGAGT